AAACAAATATTTTAAAAGAAAAAGTAGTAAATCTAGCCCTAGCATCAGTAGTGTTCAGAAGAAAGCAAAAAAGGTATACTGGAGACAAACTGAGCCAATTCCGGTCTACCAGGTGAACAAAATGCTTTTTGTGTCATTTTTGTTTGGTGGTGTGCCATGTAATTTTTCTAACGTGCAATATGTGCCGTGGCTCCAAAAGATTGGGAAACACTGTATTAGAGTACTACTATTACTATACTATACTACTGGTATCCATTTCTCCAGGGCTACAGCTAAATCTGTCATTGTTGCATCTTTGGCTATTTTCACTTTGGCTTCTACATCAGGTCTGCTTCTTCATGCAAAGAGAATAAATGGCAAAGCAGCAAAGGACGGGGGAAGAGAAATGTCTGTACTCAATCATATAGCTAATTAATAATTAGCTTTTTAGCTTTTGGTTTTGCTCCCATTGACCACCTGTTAATCCTAACGGCATCCGAAGGTCATTGACACCACTGTGTAAGTTCTACCACAAACACACAGGGACTCTGAAGGATGAGCAGGTTAGCAACAAATTAGAATAATGGAGGTTTGTCAAAGTATGTTTAGGTGACATTAAGGTGCCTCGAATAGATTCATAAGCGTGTAAGAGAAATATTAATGTTAGATAGAAGTACTCTATAAAAGTATTGAACACGTAGCATTATATAAGTACCACACCATTTACACTATCTTGATACTAGAATTTCATATTGAATACCATTTTTAATACTACGGGAGTGGAGGGGTAAGGTTGGGGTGGGGTATGACAACAATTTTAAAATTTTTAGGTAGTGCCAAAAAACCAAAACGATAAGTATGTGAGGTAGCAAACAGAGTTGATGAAGTTGGCGGCTGCCATTTTTGCCTGGTTGCTGGTAGAATTTTCTTAGCTTCAGAGTTGGAGTTTGACACAAATAATTGTGTTATGCTTTTAAATTAGTCTATTATAATGTTACAGAAAGTTTTATTATTAGGCATGACCACTAGCTGCTACCTTAATGATAACTAAACAGAAGCTATCTGATAAGGGGGGTGACGACACATGAGAAACTGGGGCTGTTGTGGATGGCCACAACAATAAGCTGAACTCAGTTCTGCTCAGTATTAATTTTATCTCTTTATGAGATTATTGGTGTTGCAATCCAAAACAATCCCAGCTTCTCATGTGCCCCTTGAGTAAATACCCACCACTTTGATAAATCTACTTCCAACTGGGGTTGCAGCTGTGGATGGATCAAGATTTTTGATTGGCCAAAGATATTATACAAGATGCACATTATGACACAACATCACAACCCCAAACATACAGCCAAAGTCATTAAGAACTATTGTCAGCATAAAGAAGAACAAGAAGTACTGGAAGTGACGTTATGGCCCCCACAGAGCCCTGATCTCAACATCACGAAGTGTGTCTGGGATTACATGAAGAGACAGAAGGATATGAGGAAGCTTACATCCACAGAAGATCTGTGGTTAGTTCTCCAAGATGTTTG